ACCCAAAAGTCACGTAAAGGTTCGAACTTTAGGTCCATGCGTCACACTATCATCTCTATATGCCAAAATAATCCTTAATATGATAACCTAGGCCCCAAAACTCATAAAGGATTGCATAAAGCTAAAGAATAGGGACTCTCTAGACCTCTCAAGGTCTAGATATGATAATATTGTCACAAGGGGACATCACAAACACTAGATCTCTACCAAAACTGAAGAGAATAAACCCTAGATTCATGTAATTTATTACTCAAATGAAGATAGAGATGAGTCCATACCTCCCACAACAGCTCTTAACGAAATGATGGTAGATTTGAGTCCCACAAATCAGCCTAGATCAAAATCCTTCCTTCCCTTTGCAAAAACACACCAAAAAATGATGAATTAGCCCTCCTCTTGCTCTACAAGCTCTCTTTCTGCTCTCTAGGGTTTCTCAGGGGTGTAGTGGCTGTAAATGAAGGCCATAAAGGCACTTAAATAGGCTCCAAACCTACGGAATTAGGGTTTGTTTCGTCAGTACTGACTCGTCGAGTCAGATATCCGACTCGCCGAGTCCGATCACGAAATGCGTCAAAGGAGCCCGACCCTACTCGACATGTTGAGGCACCAACTCATCGAGTCCCTCCAAAAATCCCAAAAATAAATATTTAAAATAGCATACCCTAAAACCCAGATGTTACAATTCTCCCCCACTAGTATTAGACTTCACCCTCAAAGTCTTCATCCGAAAATAACTCTGGATGCTGCCCCCACATATCCGACTCCGTCTCCCAGGTCAAGTCAGATCCTCTATGATGTTGCCACTGGACCTGAACCAGAGGCACCTCCTTGTTCCTTAGAACTTTGACCTTCCGATCCAAGATCGCGATCGGCCTCTTAGCGTAGTTCAGGCTCGCATCCACCTGAATATCCTTCAATGGCACTACAGCTGTCTCATCGGCAATACATTTCCTCAACTGAGATACATGGAATGTATCATGGATCTAACTCAACTCTGCGGGTGGCTCCAAACGGTAAGCTACCTTACCTACCTTGGCGGTCACTCTGAAAGGCCCAATATATCGAGGCTCCAACTTTCCCTGCTTCCTAAACCGGATTACCCCTTTCCATGGGGAAACATTCAAAAGCACAAAATCCTTAACATGGAACTCAAGCTCGGATTTCCGTTTGTCAGCGTAACTCTTCTGACAACTCTGGGCTATCTGCAATCTCTGTCGGACCTATTGAATCTGCTTGGTCATCTTCAACACTATCTCAGTGCCACCCATAACTCTCTACCCCACCTCTCCCCAACAGATGGGTGTATGACACCTCATCCCATACAGAATCTTGAAAGGAGGCATACCAATGCTCAAGTGGTGGCTGTTGTTATAAGAAAACTCAGCCAAGGGTAAGTATGTGTCCCAACTCCCTCCGAAATCTAAAACACACGCTCGCAACATATCTTCGAGCGTTTGAATGGTCCGCTCGCTCTGTTCATCTGTCTGTGGGTGGTATGTTGTACTAAAATGTAGGCGCGTTCCCCATTCCTCATGAAATCTCTTCCAAAACCTGGAAGTAAAACGCATGTCTCGATCAGACACAATCGAGATCGGCACCCCGTGTCGAGATATCACCTCCCTCACATAAATCTCCACCAACTTTTCCGCAGAAGAGCTCTTACTAATAGCGAGGAAGTGAGCACTCTTTGTGAATCGATCCAAAATCACCCATATTGCATCCACTCCACTTGAGGTCCTCGGTAACTTAGTGATAAAATCCATAGTGATCTGTTCCCACTTCCACTGGGGAATCTCTAGCAGCTGCAAAGGACCGTGTGGATGCTGGTGCTCTACCTTGACCTGCCGACAAGTTAAACACCTCTCAACAACCCACGCAACATCCCTTTTCATATAGGGCCACCAATAATCTTTCTTCAGATCCAAATACATCTTAGTGGCCCCGGGATGGATCGACAACCTCGATCTGTGTGCCTCCTCCATAAGAGTACCACGAGCCTTGCCTATGTAGGGTATCCAAATCCATTCTCGGTAGATCATCAGTTCTCGACTATCTATGACAAACTCAGACACCTGCCCAATCACCCTCTCCCTCTTTTGGTTCTCTGACCACAACGCTTCGGCCTGGGCCACATGGATGGTATATAATATCGGTGTCATCACCGTCATCCTCATACATATATCTAGTATTGGAACACACTCCACACTGCGACTTAGAGTATCGACTACAACCATCTCCTCTGACGTATGTTCAGGTTGGGCTGATCCATCAAATATTTCAAACTCTTGTGGTCCGTGTATATGGTACACCGGACCTCGTACAAATAATGTCGTCAGATCTTGAGGGAAAACATCACTGCCCCCAGATCCAAATCGTGGGTAGAATACCTTGCCTCATGAGGCTTCAACTGCCTTAGTGTATATGCTATTACATGACCCCTCTACATCAATATTGCACCTAACCTAGATATAGACGCATCACGGTACACCACGAAATCCTCCATTCCTTCAGGAAGGGATAAAACTGGGGCTTCACACAGTCTCTGGCGAAGTGTCTCGAACGAGGTCTACTGCTCAGGACCCTACACAAAAGCCATGCCCTTCCGGGTCAGTCTAGTGTGAGGAACAACAATCATGGAGAAATCCCTAATAAATCTCCTGTAGTAACCAGGCAACCCCACAAAACTCCTGATCTCGATGGGGGTATCTCGGCACCTCCCAACTCATAACAGCCTCAATCTTAGCCGAATCGACCAATATTCCATTCTGGTTAACGAGGTGTCCTAAGAGCTAGACCTCTCGTAACTAGAAATCACACTTCGAGAATTTGGCATAAAGCCTCCCCGATCTGAGTACTCCAAGAACCTATCTCAGATGCTCCTCGTGCTACTCCCTAGACTTCGAAAATACGAGAGTATCATCGATAAACATGATCACCGAACGATCCAACATCGGCCTGCACACCTTGTTCATGAGGTCATTGAACGCCGTCAGTGCATTGGTGAGCCTGAAAGGCATCACCATGAACTCGTAATGACCGTAATGAGTTCTAAAAGCTGTCTTCTAGATATCCTCTTCTCGCACCCTCATCTGATGATATCAATACCTCAAGTCAATCTTGGAAAACCAAGACACACCTTGCAACTGATTGAATAAATCATCGATCCTTGGTAGTGGATAACGGTTCTTGATCGTCAGCTTGTTCAACTCCCGATAATTAATGAACACCTAATGTGAACCATCCTTTTTCTTCAAAAAAGGATCGGGGCTCCCCATGGCGAGCTAATCAGTCTGATAAATCCCTTCCCCAGCAGCTCCTGAAGCTGAGAAGATAACTCCTACATCTCTGGCGATGCAAGGCGATAAGGTGCCTTAGCTATCGGCACCGCACCTGGCATTAGGTCAATCCGAAACTCCACTTGCCTCTCTAGAGGCACACCTAGCAACTCCTCAGGAAAAACATCCGCAAACTCACACACTATCGGAACCACTGAAACAGAACTTAGTCTATCACTACCAACCCGTGTATCCATGACATACGCCAAGAAACCATTACATCCCTATTGTCACTACTAGAAAACAACCCTTTAATGATGCGCAAACAATGACACTCGCTAATAGAGGACGCGCATTGGTGTGTGCCCTAAAAAATAATGTCGATTTTGTAAAATTTGAAGGATAGTGGACACGCATTTGTGCATGCCCTAAAATTAGTGTCAGAAAAGAAAAAAAAAAGAAATGCGGAGGGCGCCTTTCATAAAATGTACGCCCTCTAAATGTGTCGCTTTATATTTTTTTTAGACAAAATTGCAAAAATAGTCCTTGTGGTTTGCATTTTTTCAGGAAAAAAGTCCAAACCACGAGTTTTTTGGTTTTGTGGTCCTTTTGAGCTAGTTCCATTGCGTTTTTGGTCCCCTTGAATAGTGAAATGACTGTAATGCCCTTGGGTATTTATTTTCCATTTTTAAATTTGTTTTTTTTTAATTTAATAATTATTTATTCATTTTAATTATTAAAAAAATGAGAGGGCCCACCTCTCTCTCTCTCTCTCTCTCTCTCTCTCTCTCTCGTTTTTCCCCTTCTTCCTGACGAACACCAACTCTTTCTTTGTGTTCTACTGCTGAAGACGAGAAAGGAAATCACGAGGACTCCCCAGAGATCAGCTATACATCTCTACCTCTGCTTATTGATCCATCTTTTTGAAATGGTTGCTTCTGCTCATCTTCTTCCCTTTGGTCAGTCAAGGAATCGAAGACCCATTTTCTTCTTCTTTCGATTGAGTAAAAACCACCGAGATCCGCTGCAGCCCCCGTTTAACCCTTCACCCTCGCATATCACTTCCGAGGCAGAAGAAACAATGGATTAGGAATTGCGCGAGCAGCCTTTCTGCATCGCTCATCTCCTTCCTCAAACCAATCAATCATTGAAGAGGGTTTCTTGTTTGCTATCGATTTCGTGCCTCTTTTTCTTCCGATCAGCCATCGCCAAATCCCCACCAAAAACGAAATCCACATTCTTCATCTTCTCTATCTCTCGTTCATCTGAAAGGTATCGACTTCAACTATTCTTCCTTAGATGATCTAATCCGGTGGTTGATGTTTATGTAGGGATTCAGAAAAGTGGATCCGGATCGATAGGAGTTTGCGAATGAGTGGTTTGTGATCGATGTTTATGATAAGAGGGGGTTATCCAGCTTCTTCCAAAAACCCTTGGATTGAGGATGATTAGATGGGAAACGATGAGAAAGATTAGGTGTTTGAAATCCTAAAAGTGGAGAAGATACCTTAGAGCAGAAGCATGTGATCGATGGTCGATGATGATGAAGGGAGTATCCATCTTCTTCCATGTTCTTTACCCTGGTTACCAAAGTGATTAATTTCTCGATGTAGTTACCCAAAATCAAACCTCCATTCTCCCATTCCCGGTGATTTGTGTGCCAATGTTCTATGCGATTTTACCTCCATAAATATATTATATGAGAGAGAAGGGAAGGAGACGAGGATGTTGATAAGAACTGGTGTTTTTTTACCTATAGAAATCCGGTGGGTTTGGATGCCGACGATATGGATGATCGGTGGTGAAGACGAGAAAGAAGAAAGAAACATGGCTGGAACAGAGGGTAACAGCCTCCGTTTTCTGCTTGAGTTTTCGAGAGAGAGAGAGAGAGAGAGAGAGAGAGAGAGAGAGAGAGAGAGAGAGAGAGAGAGAGAGAGAGAGAGAGAGAGAGAGAGGTGGGTCCTTTATTATTTTTTTAATTGTTAAAATAAATAAATAAATATTAAAATTTAAGAATAGTGAAAGAAAAATGAAAAATAAATACCCCAAGGGTATTATAGTCATTTCAATTTTTGGAGGGACCATTTTCACATACAAACTACTCCAAAAGGACTACGAAACCAAAAAAGTCACTGTTTGGACTAAAACCCCAAAATTTTGTATACCACAGGGACCATTTTTGCAATTTACTCTTTTTTTTATGCCTAAACGCGTTTTTTTAAAGGGGGGAAACGAAATCCTCTGAACTTCTAAAATTTTGAAGAAGCCGCTTCTACCCTCTCTCCTCAATATCTCCCTTTTCATTCACTCCTTCCTTCTCTCTGTAAACCCTAAGCCATCGCCACTGCCACCGCCATTGAACCTTAAAACTCAATACACACTAGAATCCTACAATAGAATCCTAATAATCCTTTTGAATCAGCGCATCCTTTTGAATCGGCTCCTCTCTCTCTCTCTCTGCGCTCTCTCTCTCTCTCTCTCTCTCTCTCTGCGCTCTCTCTCTCTCTCTCTCTCTCTGCAAGCCCTAAGCTGCCACCACCAACATCGAACCCAATAAGCTTCTAAGAGTTTGGAGTGCATCTACAAACCTAAGCACACACTTCCGCCTTCTCCTGCAACCCATCTCTCCTCTCCACCACCGTCGCTGACCTACACGCTGCCCGTCAAGGAGACCCATCTGATCCCACTCCTTCTTGGTTCACTCCCACAAGGTACATTCTTCATATGTCCTCTCTCACAAAAAATTGTTTCTTCTTTCTGTCTTCAGTTTGACATCCCCGCAATTTTCGAGGACTGACTCTCGTAGGTACGTCTGCGTTATCGGAGTGGCACGGGGAAGAAAGTCGACGCACGGAAGAGCAAGAAGTCCAGGAAGAAGTCCGGTGGGAGTTCAGGATCTAGGGCAAACATGTACCTCCCACCGGTGCCTTTGAAGGAGCCAATTTCAGGTTGAGTGAAAGTGGATTTCGGGTAAGTTGTACTTTCAATCTTTTTCTTATTCGAGCATGAGAAGGGTTCGTTGGGGTTAACGGGTTTACAGAACTTGGGAAACACTTGTTTTATGAATAGTTCTCTAGTCTCTAGTCTCTTTTTGATTTTCTTGCTTTCTAGGGCTATTTTTTGATGATGCAAACGGTTTTTTGTCAGTATATAACAGATCAGTTGGTTTTGGTCATCATTAATGAAATTAGCCCTAAATGTCCGATATAAATGGTTGGTTTTGTTCATTTGTATTTATGCAATAATAGTTCTAGTAGCAAACAAACAAGTAGAAGATTATTGATTTTTTTATGGCTATGGTCGATGGGTATGATGACAGGGTGAGATTGCAATGGCATTTGGGGATTTATTAAAGACATTATGGGCTCCTGGGGTAACAGTTTTACCACCACGAACATTCAAGTCCAAGCTTGCTCATTTTGCTCCTCAATTTAGTGGCTTCAATCAGCATGATTCTCAAGTTTGTTCTGTTCTCTAGAGTTGATACAAGTGATTTTCAGGAAGAAAAGGGTGAAACGGTGTGTGATGTTACAAAGGGGAAGTGGGTTTATGATGAGAGTTATCCTCTGTACTCTGCTTTTACTTTCCCTTTTATAGATGAAGGTTTCAATTGTGAGGCCAATGGAATATTGGACAAAGACTATATGAAATGGAGGTGGAAGCCTCAAGATTGCTACATTCCAAGGTAATTTTTTTAATGCTTAGTCTTGCAAGCACTTTTCAGATAGAGAGGTATTCTCTGATTACCTTGATTCTAAATATGCATAAAGTTGCAAACATTGATACCCCTAAAAAACCTGAGCTGTTAGGTTCTGATTTTGAATGAATTACGTTGTATATAGGTTCAACGCAACAAACATGCTGGATATCACGAAAGAGAAAGGAAACTATTGTTTCATATTTGTGGTAATGAAGTTTTAGAGTTATATGATCTGGAATATATTCCCATTTACTTGATTGTCTTCTTGTGACAGGATTACAAGTGCACAGTTGACCAAATACTAATCAATTAAACTTTCTGATTATTTTGATTCCTAATTAGATGGCAGCAGGTATAACTTTCCATTTTTGTTTATTGTACAATAGTTTATTTAAAAAGGGTTCTTATTTTTTTATTTTATTATTCATTTTCCAGATTAGTTTGCATATTGAAGACAAGACCAATATGCCCCTGACATACATTTGCTCTGTTTTCTTCGGTTTCCAAGACATGATGGAATTTTTTTTTTATTCGAAAAGTCCATAGCATAAATAAGAAAATACCCATATACCCTTGTTAGCATATGACTTGTTTTTGTCTAGACCTGAAAGTACCAATCACGTGAAGATCAAGTTAGCTTTCCTTTGTTCAGACCCATTTTAGCCCTTTATATAGATACAATAAGACAAAATTTGACTTCTGATCAAAGATTTAATTTTAGTTCTAAGCAAAGAATGAATTCTTCCATATATAGAAATAATTTCATGCGAACGATGTTTTGCTTTGATTCCATTCCTTGAATAAACAAATCAGTGCATCCTTATATCCTTATATCTTTATCCTGTTAAGGACCAGATTATTTTCAAGGTCATGTATCCAACATTAACATACTATGATATTTGATATTACGTTTATGAGTTTCTGAAGGTAACTTTATCTTTATCATGGGATTTGGTGAGAAGGGTAAAATGGTAAATTTTTTGAAGTTGGTACTAGTCTCTTATGTGGGGTTGCAGGCATTGGATTATTCACAGAGATGTGAAGACTCGGTTGCATGTTTGCAGGAATGGATTTTTTTTTTAATATTATACTGCTGACGTGGCATTTTTTTTTAATAAATCCAGCTCAACAGTTTAACTTTTGATGCAGATATTTCTCAAGGAACCTTTCTTTTACAGGCATGACAATCAGGATCAGCTTGTGAAAATTGCTAGGGTAATATTTTTTTTTCTTTTTAAAAAGTATTAATGCAAGAATTAATAATTTAGTAAAGTTTGTGAACTGAGAATAGGTGCTTGGGACTGGTGAAATAAAAGCATATTTGAACAAATATCAGTTAGAACTTGAACCACAACTTGAAGCTCTTGTTAGAAGGTAATATTTAATCTTTATAAAATAAAAAATATATAATATTAAGATTTAATCGATATCATATACTAAAGTATTATATTCTTTTGTCATCAGGCATAGCACGAAACCATGGTCAAAGTTTATGAATGCAGATAATCAACATTTAGTATCTCCAAAGGTAATTTCTTTAATCTTATAAATTAATTATTGGTTACTAAATAAAGCTAAATAAATACGTTGTCATACAAACATGCTTAAAAGGTTTACCATATATATATATATATATATATATATATATATATATATATATATATATATATATATATATATATAGAGTTAGTATTTATTTGACACCCATTCTTGTTTGGTTGATTTACATAAAGAAATAACTTGTTCCATGGTTATTCTTTAGAGGTGACAATGTTGAGCTTCATCTTGCAGCTTGCCTCATGGAAGCCGTTAGAGAGTTTCAATTACAATAAAGAGGAGATAAACCAGGTCCAGATTTGCATTATCTATTTTTCTTTTATATGAGTTTCAATTACTTCTAAAGGTTGTTGATTGTGTGATTAATAAAATCTTTTTCGTTTTAGCTAATGTTCAAGTCATTACTAGCAGCAGCTCCTGATGCCTGCTGCTTCTGATTATGTCTTTTAATCAAATTCAAACCAATGATTTTTTAATAAAATAAAAGTTTGACTTTTTCAGTTTTGTTGAATCAACAACTTAATAACTGAAATGTAAAAGTATAGTTTCAGTCCATATTATTCAGATGATCTAATAACTACATGTAATGCAGGTGGTCACTAGGTGCAGTAATGTATGTTAGTGTTGTATTACTATTTGCTGTTAGTGTTGTATTACTATTTGCTGAGGATATTTTTGTCATTTTCTTTTATTTCATGATTGTTTTTAACTATTACTATTATTGCATGTGGTCACTAGGTGCGATAATGTATGAGATGCTTGTTGGATAACCTCCATTTTATTCGGATGATCCAATAACTACATGTAAGAAGGTATAACAAGCTGCAACTGATTATTATTTTTATTTGTTTCCCATACCAAACATTATGAACGTACGCTTAAATAACTGATTTGTAATCGTGATGAAGCTTTAGTATTTGTTAACTCATGATCCTTGTTTTCTTATCTCAAAGGATGATGATGAAGAAACAAGCTTACCAAAGGACAATAGTGAAAAAACTACACGTCCCCAAGGAAGGTCATTTTCTTGCTCAAAATTGAATTTAATTCTAAATTATTCATTATATCCAAATTATTAATACATAGGTATATATTACAAGAAGTGAAAAAGAAACATCCATTTACATACTATATATATTATTAGATTAAGGGGTTGTTTTTTTTACTTAATGGGCTTAATGGGTTAAGAACTTAATCTAGACTTATTCTACACAGAATGATTTGATGGGTTAAGCCAAAAATTCAGGATTAATGTATTAAAACACTAATTATATGCCTGTTTTCCCTTCTTTTTTTCTTTCCTCCCAACTCTTTTTTGGAATGGGTAAAATGGTCATTTCATTTCATTAATTAGATGGTTTATTTAATCTAGAATAGAAACAGACTCGGACAGAAATAACACCTTGATGTTTATAATAATAATATTTAATACTAACAAAATAGGGGATTTTTATATGAACTCAAATCAGAATCATCAATTTTTTAAACATGATGAGAAGGTTACCGAGGGATACGGATAGTATTGTCAGTGAACAAGGTGAACAGGAACTAGTTCTGATCTATCGTCTATACAAAAGGCGTAAATGTCCTTCTTATCCTCATAATTGAAAATACTCCGTGTAACAAATATGAATGATTCCTTTAAGATTAGTGATTAAAAAGAAACGCCCTCCCTCGTATATGGTTTTCACCTTTGGTAACATAAAGATTCCTAGATTAAAGCTCATTATGTGATTGTGTGATTAATAAAAGTTTTTTTTTTGTTTAAGGTAATGCTTCAAGCCCTTACTTGCCATCCATGCCCAATGGACAGCCGCCCATAACACCGAGTTCAACATTTTTACCTGGTACATCTAGTGGCAAACCAATGACACAAAGAATTTTTTGACATGATATGTGAAACAAGAGATGTTGGAGCCCTTAGAGAAGCTAAGCAAAAACTGGAGAAGTGAGTTGAAGATATGACATGGAGATTAGACTTTTAAAAGCATTTGAGGGTATATTTTTTTATATTTCTTGTATCTAATTACTTTGTAAATTTTTGTTACAACTTCTATTGATTTGTTTTATCTTTCAATGGAACGATTATTTGTATGACATTAAGTTTTATGCAATGGATTGTATTTTTTGTATATGATATTTTATTTTCTATTATGAGACATTAAATACAAATTTAATTTGAAAATTAGTAAATCTATAAATAATTTTTTTTTTAAACATTTAAAATTATGATACGCAAAAATGTGCGTCATCTTCATTTATGACATGGTCTTTCTTGACAGGGGCTTTCTTGAATGCATTGCGTGTCATTAACACGCGTGTCGTCCTCCTTTATGACAGGGCCTTCCTTGATACGCATTGCGTGTTGTAAACGCGCGTCGTAACTGCGCGTTGTCTCTCTTTATGATAGGGCCTTCCTTGACGCGTATTTGCGCATCGTCTGAGCCTTTTACGACGCGCAATGAGCGTCGTAAAAGGCTGTTTTCCTAGTAGTGTGTAAACTCTGCCTTGCTCGAGTGGCAAAATCGAAAGCTGATCCGGTTCTAGTACCCTCTCCGTACACTGTGAGCACTCCCCCACTATGGTCTCGTATAGTCACCACCAGATGCTCGCAATCTATAACAGCTCCGATTCGACTCAACCAATCCATGTCCACAATAACACAAACATCTCCCATCGCAATCGGTACTAGATCTATCGGGAACTCAACACCGAAGATTTCGAGCACACATCCTTGAATCACATCAGTCGTATATACCACTCGCTCTTCGGCTATAGAAATTCGTAGAGGCCGACTCAACACCTCTCGTCGGATACTAATGTGCTGACTAAACGCTAATGATATGAAAGATCGACTCTCACCTAAGTCAAATAACACGAGAGCAAGTACATAACATCAGATCGACTCTCCTCCACTGTCAACTGTAAGGCTCTCCCATGAGCCTTCGATGCCTTGGCCTTCGCTGGATGGAACTCAGTAGCTCAGACGACAACATGGTCAGATCCCTGAGGTGCTCCCTGTGCCGACCCCCGCAGCTGTGGACACTCGGCCTTCCGATGGCCAGTCTGGTTGCAGTAGAAACACACTGCAAATCCCTTGGGGCAATCCTTAGCCATATGCCCCTCCTTGCCACACTTGTAGAAAGACCCCGCTCGATAAATCCCCTCATGGCTCTTGCTGAACTTGCCACAAGTGCGGCCCTTCTGGTTCCTTGATCTCGCATCGGTGGGCTTTGCCCGTTTGCCTGCCAGCTGGGATTGTGCCGCTCGTCGATCTCTCCCCTGAGACTCCGCCTCCTCCCTGGCCTATGTCTCGAGCTCAATCTCCCTCTTCCAAACATTTTCCTGGAGCTTGGAAAATGTCCGGTATGTCGAGTTCGCCACGAAATCGTGAATGTCTCTCCACAGAATACTCAGATATCGACTCATGCATGCCTGCTCAGTAGACACATGCTGAGGGTAAAACATCTCCCTCTCATGAAACATCCTGGTGATCACAGTAATAGACTCAGTTCCCTGTTTGAGGGACAAGAACTCCTGGGCCAACCGTTCCCTTTCCACTGGGGGAATGTACCCATCACGAAACATGGCGGTGAACCTCTCCCATGTCACTGAAGCTAGCTCTGCAGAAGTGAAGTGCGCTGTCACAAACTTCCACATGTCCTTCGCTCCTAAGCGAAGCTGGTACAGTGCAAACTGTACCCTCAGATGCTCCGGACATGAATACGTGTAGAAGCACCCCTCAATGTCAGAAAT